AGAGACCTTCAACCAGCACAACACCCAGAATCAAAGGGCTTTATGTCGTGCTCGGATAGATAGAGGATAGAGGTGATCAAATTCGAGCGAGCTGTGACATGGTTCTTCTTAAGATTGGAAGCGTTTTACTTTGTTCGAGGTTCTTGAAGGATGCCCCAAAGCCCGGTGGAAAGGGTGATGGCAAGGTGCATTTGCAACGGTGGGCCATTCTGCTTGGAAGAGACCTGACATTGATATGTTGAGCATGAACACACTTAGATGAGAGTCTGAGTCTGATAGAGTGGCTGCAGTGCCGCACTATGTCACTGCAGGGAAAGTGATCTGGTGGGCTGCCAAGCAATCTAAGAAACTCGAGGCGGCAACGAATGTGTACAATGCAAGAAGTTCAGCTGATGGACCAGATCCAAGCTTCGGCCGTCCTTGCAAAAAGCATGTGTATCATTGTGTATCGATGCTTCAGCAGTGATTTGCTAGCCAATCAATCAATGGCCAAAGTGTGGATGCAGAAGACTGAGTGTGGACAAGCACCTGCCAAACCTGCGATGGAACAAAGTGCCTCACAGCAGGCAACGCACAAGCAAATCGTTGGTTGGAACACTGGGTTTGGCAGGACAAGAGTCACAGTGACTGAGCTGTGTAAAGCTTCCAAACGTGCGAAAGAGCCAAAGGGAGATCAAGTGATCGTGTTGGGCTTTCTTCGAGGCGTTGGCGCTCTTTTTAGTTTTCAGGCGCCATTTGGGGCGTAAGAGTCTCAGGATTTGATGTGGTTTGACCTTCAGAACACAGAGTGTTTTCTCTCAGTATGTATTTAATGAGCGTAGCAGGCCGGAGACTTGACTGTTCACACAAGCTTGTAAGCGGGTTGGACCATCACGATTTGAATGCATTCATGAAGTATGGCTAGCACTTGGAAGCTTAGATGCAACACAAAACAAGCATGTGACAAGCGGCAGACTTGCCATCACTGTATTTCAGCAACATGCAGAGTTGGCATGTTCCTACTATGCCTGTGGCTGCGGGCTTAGATGGTTGAACACATGACTTCACCTTGAACCTTGCTCTGGCTGTGGTGCACGAACATTCTGGAAAGCGCATTGTGCTTTCGCACGGAGTACTGAGTATGGCCAGCTGCGATTATTTTGCATTCAGGTTTGGACTCTACGGCTGTTTGAAGGCGTGTTCGCATGATGTCTTTGTTTGTACCTTAGCCCGTAGCGTGCTACGGATTTGACCGGGCACTTCTTCGCAGCAATTGACCAAGTGTGCTTGGAGCTGTGCTCGCGTGAAAATCAGCCACTATACAAAGGTAAAGGACCACACAGTATCATGCAGATCACCAATGTTTGCATCGGCTGCATCGACCATGAACTCTTTCGAATAAAAGTGTTTTAGAATAGTCGCAGAGCGTGACGGAGACTGAGGCCATCGCCACGAATTCCTCCTATCCCTAGCAAGGCTCGGTCTGCCATGCAATCGATTGAGATGTTGACCTTGTCATATCTGGGCCTGTTTGATTTAAGAGAGAGAGAGAGAGATTGTGTTGGTTGGTTTGGGACCTTGTTTGGCATGTCTACTGCACCATCGGATTTCTGTGAGAAGTTGGGAAGAACGATTGCAGTCAAAGCGCAGAGTGGCAAAGACCCAGCAACTTTGGCCCTGAACATGCCTGAACCAATTTGCAAATTAAGCTAAAACACAAAAATCAAACACACAATGAAAATTTCTTTTGTTGCTTTTTCTTTCAAATCCCTTTTGCAACTTTCGCCCACAGTTGTGCAGTTCTGCATCAGATCGTCCAAAGTGCACCTGGGCAAGACCACGCTCTGGCATTGCCAATGAATCCAATAAGAGAACTGCAACATCGTCACCCTTTGGCAAACTCATCCATCCGGGCAACGGAGGGGTACATGCGCACACCATAGCGGGATCAAACGCGCTTGAGAGTCGAGCTTTTTCAGTCGATGTATTTCAACTTCGGGTCAACTTGTCCTGTGAGGATAGGCAAGGTGCTCGGACTTCACCAGTGTGAAGCCCTCGGTATCGGTCTTTTTGAACAGATGTGTGAAAGTCTAAGTTGCACGACATCAAAGAATTGCACCCATCCTGGCATGTTGGGTTGGGACAGTTCATTCCTTTTTGTCTAAGGCCAGATGTGCAAATTCTGCTTTCACGCCAGGCACTTGTTGAGAAGAACAGGTAGCCAGCACCGGGTAAACAAAACGGTGGAGATCACATCGAGTGAGCAGTACTTCGAGATAAACATTGATTATGCTCAACGAGAGATGGCAGTAGTGGGCTCACAGCGCAGTTGAGCTATTTGAATGTATTCAACAAGCTGACATGGAGGGTTATCTATGTAGCAGATTTCTGAGGACAGCATAAGAACAAAAGAAAACACAACAAACCAGGAACAACCCAGCCTAGTTTATGCGTCAACCAAGCCTCAAACATCGCAATGGCCTCCCCTCTTGCATTCCGACGGCCTCAGCTTGCGCTCGGTGAGGAAGTCATGCAGGCTCTTCTTCATTTGAGTTGAAGAAAGATACAGATGCATCAGACGAATTGCTATGACAATCTATGATATGAATGACCTGAAACACTCCTGCTCCCAAACATTGTAACATGCCAAGACACTGCACGCTTGTTTCAAAGCATTTTCTTTGTTCTACAGGGGCGATGAAACTGCTGACGAGAGCAAGCAAGTAGAGATTACCCCCGATGAAGCCAGAAACAAGAGCAACATGAGGAAATAAGTTTGCACTTTGCGGTAGCCGTGAAAGCAGGCGAAAGGTTCGCGAAAGGGAAGCGACCGATCACTCTTGGGTAAAAGCAATTTGGAACAACTCAGATGCTTGGTGATTCGCTCAAACTGGTTTCCAGCTAGCTATTAGTAACAAGTGCATCGCTACTAGTAACAAGTGCCTTACTAGTAGTAACAAGAAGCTATTAGGAACAATAAGCTATTAGTAACAAGTGCATCGCTACTAGTTTGCGCAGCCCTTTGCAGCCAGGCTGGGCCTGTTAACCCGCTTTCCACGGGACACATCACGCCGGCCAACAGTGTGCGGCCAAATCTGGATATGAGCATGCAGACAGGTGGGCTGCTGTTGTGTGAGATCTGCAAGTGAGTTGTGTTTTGTATTGACGGACAATGGGTGGGCCGGGCCACTTGCAGGCACTCCTTCTTTCCGAGGAAGCGGCCGGATTGGGCAGGCTGAAACTGTGAAGATGTTCTTTGAAGTCGGTTGGGTTCCCATACATGGGGCATGCCACTCTTGAGTGCCAAACCCCCTGGTCTACAATGATTGTAACAATCCTACACCCAAACAGTAACAGTTTCTCAAACAGTAACAATGGGTTGTTTATGCAGCTCACATGAAGGTTGCAGAGCCTGCCTCGCTGGTGCCAGCCACAGAGCTACCTCGCCCCGAGCCATGGACAAGAAAGAATAGTCATTTGGTCATTTGTTCGTTTGGATTCCGTTTGTATTTCTCGTACTTGCATTACTCACTACTTTGCGCGGTGCCTTCTTCAACACGCATCTCATGCATGCCCGTCTCATGCCTGAGGAACTGAAGATCGACAGCAGTGAAGTGGCTCCTCCTGTGCTACCATCTCCAACCAATGCACAGCGTCAGCCAATGATGCCTAGAAGTATTCGAAGCGTACGCTCCGCAGTTCATGGTGCAAATTGGGGCCCAGAGGTGTCGAATGCATTGGCTACAACCATCTCAGTGCGGCCAGCAACAGTCCCACAGAGGCCAGTTTTGGGCTATCAGAGGCAGACCGGCCCAGTGTTGGAGATGAATACGGATGATTTGCCATGTGTTCCAACCCTAGAAACGCCGACAAACTCACAGAGGCAACCAATGATGTCGCGGAGCACCCGCAGCGTGCGAACTCGCATAACAGCTGCGGATGCCGAAACAGTTCAATCATTCCCTCCAGCTGCAATGTCAATGACTCCAACCATGGCTACAGCGACTTTGCATGCTGGAAACATCAGGATCACACCGAAACCACGAGGATTGAAAGTTGCATCTTTGGAGACAGAGTCTTTGGAAGGGGGCACTTTTCAGCTCAGTGGCATGGTTACACCGACGAATCTTGACCGGAAAAATGCACAGATGAGTTTGCAACTTGGCACACCATCCTTCAAGGGAAGCGCAACAACTCAAATGCTTCAAACAGCTCCGCTTCAGAGAGCTCCGCTCGGGAACCCGACGTGAGCTCCGAGCCTAGAGAACCGTACAGGCTGCCAAAGTGACTTATAGATCATTTACATTTATTTACAGAATCGCCGTGATCAAGATTGTTGATTACTATATATATATATATACATGTTACATACCAGCATGACTTTTGGACGTGAATCTCATACACTGGAGCTTTGGTGGCTGTGTTTTTGCCCAAATCAATGCACGCTTGCACAATGGAATGGATGCCGCGAAGCTGCTTGAAAGCACTCCGCCTACCCATGCTGTTCCGTGCTGCAAAAAGTGAACCCTGGTTATGCAGCACAAACACACACACAGAGAAAGACACCCACCTAATGAAGTCAAAAGTGACCTCGTGACCTTGTGTACCCTTTTTACTACTCCAAGGCCCACGAGCCTGCACCAGCGCGGTTGGGTTCTTACAGAATGTGGTGCATGATATTTCCAGGATCTCAGTATCTATCGCCTTCGAGTTCCGTCCGAATCTTGTCCATTTGACGCTTCTCACTGGGTCCTTGGAAGCCTTGGATCAAAGCACTAGATATTCAAGAGCCATGGCTTCAGCGGTTGCTGGACTTCGCACCCTCGACTCAGTCACTGGTGTAGGCTTGGAGTGGGGAGCGAAGGGTGCAACCTAGAAGAGGACATTTAGACTCTAAACGAGAGGCAACCGAATGGCTTTGCAATGCCAATCAGTTCCATTTCGTTGCTATTTCTGTTTGTGGCTCGAATGCTTCGGCAGCGAAGCCAGTGAAGCGTGATTCTCATCCTGTCACAGCTCTCATGGCTGACACGAAGCAGGCCATTACGGCCATGTTGTGCAGCACTTCAATCAAGATGCTTTGCAGACTAATTAGTTTTCAAGGGCGTGTTGGACTCGGTGCTTCTTTCAAGCACTTGATAAAACAACTTCTTAATTTTCTCACCAAATGCTTTGCAGGTAGCACAAAGCTCCAGCATGTCACAGAGTTCCAAGGCACGACATGTGAAGAAATGGACAAACACCCCACCGTGTATACAATGGAAATGGACGCTACTCTCACAAGTCCTCACAAGAAAGTTGCATGAATGAAAGTAAAGACACCCAAAAGGAATTCTAGTTTAGAAGAATGCTAGTTTAGACACACACACATATATATATATATATACAGTAATGGAATTCTAGTTTAGACTTCTAGTTAGGAAGGTCTAAGAGTTTAAGAGAAGGATTCTAAAGGTCCAAAGAACAAAAGAAAAGACGAACAGGTTCCACAAAGTTGTTTGTTTTTCACTGGCCAGGTCGTCCCGACGGTCGTGAAGCCTCGCATTGACTGCATCGATGGGTGCCGCTTTGCCTTGGTTTTCCCGATCATTCTTGGCCACTTCATTCGCTTTGGCAACTGATCTCAATCTCGAAGTGTGAAACGCTTGGACCTGGAAGCCATATCAGTGCCCCGGCCCTAAAGCTCAGGTACAGACAACAAGCGATTATTGAAGCTGTTGACGCAGGAGAATGTGCTGGTGGGTGGTTTCTTCAGTATTTCTGGGTACGTGGCAGCTTACACTACAACCAAGCTAAGAGAGCGAAGTCACGACGCGAAGAAGCTGAAGGAGCCGGAGCTCTTCTTCTGGCAAAAGGTTACCTGGCCTTGTGATATGTATCCCACAGAACTGTCACTGCTAGATGTCCAAGCCGAGACAGGTTCTTGTATGCACAATGTGTTTTTACCACCTGAACGCTTCAAAATAGCTTTCCTTATCAGTTCGAGGTGAGTGTTTGCTTTGCCACATACAGACTTGGCAGAATCAGGTGATGGGCTATTATCCTCTGCATTTCTTGGTCTCAACTTTGGGTGCGCCAATGTTTATAGCTACGGATCGATTGATGAACAACTCCTGGCGAACCACTGGGATGCATGCCTTCCTGAACTACAGCCTCCTGCAGGCTTGGTTTCCTTCCGAAGCAGAGATCTGGAACCCACCCACTTGGTTCCTATCAGCTTTGTCCTTTGCCAACATTACGCTGCCAAGCATTTTGCCGCAAGTAGCCAAATTGTCGAAGGATGGCCTGCAGAAACTTTTGGTAGCACTATCAGCAGTGTCACTCCTCCAGAAGCTGTCATATTCACAGGCATGGAAGTTTTATTGCTGTGGAGGATTTGCAGAGAAGACAGCCCATCCATACCTTTGGAACGTTACTCGCTTTCACCCATTTGGTGCTCTCGTGGAGATTGTGATTGGTGTAGCAGCGGCAAGGTGTGTGATGCTTGATGACGAAAGCCAGAAGCCATCGATGAACCCGTTATGGCTGTTTCTCGCAAGCTATGCATCTTTGGGCTTGCGGCTCACAACCTTGAACCTGAATGACGCAATGATTCGAACGCTTCTCTTCATGCCACTCTACACCAAGTTCCTCGTAGAGATGCATAGGTGCGTCATTGGTAAGGGAATCTGTCTCAGAGTCACATGAACCCTTGAAGTTCAACCAACGAATCACACTCAAGTTGCTACTTAAGATTCCCTAAAAGTCTAGGAACCAAATCAGTTGGAGCTATCCTTCGACCGTTGGTAGTAGCGTCCACTTGCAGCTAGTAGCTACCTCTAGCTACTACTAGTTATTACCTCTACGACTCTACGGCCAAAAAAAGAAAACACTGGTTTGGTGTGAGGAACTGACAGGCCAAACTAGCACTTCGCATGACAGGGACTGCCTCACCGAGAACCCGCACCGCATCACTCGCTTTTTCGGATCGAAGAGCATGACCTGGCTGGGTTCTTTGGCCTTTCCAATGTTTATCTTGCACGGACCTCTTGGACAGATCTTCTACAAGAAGACATTTGGCCAAGAAAGCGAAAGCACCTGATCTCTTGTGCACCCTGGAAACGTTACTGATCAATAAATCAGTGATTTGCCCCCCTTGTTCAGGGTTTCTGCTGCTTCGAATGTATCACATGAGTGCACTGCACTGATCCAATTTCAGGAAGATTGCTGAGAAGCTTTGGGGAGGCATTCTGCCGAAGAGGTTCTTTCCACTCTACTTGCTGCTGGTCATGGTTGCTGGTCACTTTACCAATGAGTATTTTGCCCGCCACTTAGAAATTGGCTCGCTCGAGTTCACTCATGCACTTGTGGACTTTAGACATATGAATAATGAATTTAATGTCGCAAAATTCGAAGAGACTCCATGAAGCTGATGAAGCAGAAAGACCTATATATATACACCTAAACTTGTTTGAGCATAAGTGTAAGTGAATTGAAGCCGTTAAAAGGCGCAGGAGAAACTTAACACGATCCAATTCCTGCAGGTGAAGTCCAAGAGGGTCCAGCAGTTTAGCACTAGTTTGGCCCGAAAACTGGCTGACTCAACCAAAGGACTGCTGCGGACAGTGCTGTAGAGAACTCGGTCCACATTTCTAGATCAAGGTCCTCTAAAGGCCACCTGTCCACATTTTTGTTTTAGACACACTGCTCGTTTGTGACCCCACTCTGGCAGGAATGCTTAGCGATTCTGTGCCGTTGAAGAGGAAGCCCTCTTCGGAATTGCTGGCAGGAGCATAGGCAAGGTCTCATTCACCAGGGCTTCGCACGTAGCAACTGCTCACACAGTAACTTTCCATTCACGGGACCCCTCACTGGATTCTTCGCTCCGGATACATTGAGCAGAGCTGAGGAGATCTCAGATCGCTGTAGAACAAACATGTACCAACACCATCAGCCGCCATGAGCGGTATCCGAAACTCAGAAGTTTGCGCCGGAGTCCGAGCAATCAGACTTCGATTGTTTTCAAACAAGACATTGAAGGAACTTTGCAAAAGCATGAAACGGTACTTAGTTTCCCCAGAAATCTAGGATCCCTTTCGACCATGCAAAGAACCCTACTAAGCAATCCTTGCATTGAGCAGCTTCCTCGCCACTACTTAACTTACCGTTTACAACTTTCTCCCCCCAACGTAGAAGTAGAATAATAACAGGAAAAAACAACCATGGGGAACAACAAACAAGGACAACAGGGACCGAGTGATTTTTATGCATGTCAGGTGGCTTTTTGAGACCACTTGCAGAGTGTACTGAGTGAACGAGAGAATCGATGTCAAAACATCAGGTCTTCTCGTTTCTTGCGCAGTTTCTCTGCAAAGATATCATATTTCGCTTGGGTGCTGAGCCCTGAAACGTGGCTTGTGCACATGAGCCCTCTGAAACTACAGATGTTTCAGCCTTGGCTTTAGTAGGAACCTGAGGCTATGCTCCTGGATTTGTGGATAGGTCAGAAGGTGTTTGTTCTTTTGAAGTGCTCTTGGTTTTCCTCTTGCCCAATTGAAGTATATACATTATTTTGGTTGCGCCCATCAATCTGGGACTTGCACAGAGCTGAACCTTTGAACTCAGCGGCCAGTGGTTCCTGTGCTTGTTGCACAAAACCCATACCACCAGACACGATCTCAGGATCCAAAAAGAAAGCAGATCTTCATGTAAATGCAGTCCAACCTTTGATTGGTCAAAACCATGTGTACTTTTTCCATGGACTGTGTGAATGACTTTGGGTTGATGGAGTTGCTCAAACAAAGCAACGCCGCAGGCAAGTTCTTCGTGATTACTGCCCGGAATCACTTGGCAAAGGCGCGACTCAACTTGGAAATGAATGCTGAGATGAATGATTCAATAAACATTGGAAATTGCTACAATTCTTGCCTCTTCATTCTTTGTTTAGGATCTTTTGACCTTTTATGTGTACTTTTCCTTTTCGTTCTTTCTTTGTATAGACCTCTATTATCTCTTTTCCTGTCCTTTCTTGATTGAAACAACAGATGCCCAGATGCACTGAGAGTCAACCCATGCAGAGATGAGATTAACTTTCAACAAATCCTGCCAATGAAGCAACTGGGAGTGACAGCCCCTTGCACGCTTCCCCCAAATCAAACCTGTCGTTGCCAACACCACATCGTGCGTTATTGTAGTCACTGAATATGGAGGGTAGAATTCAATTTGTGAGGCATTGTTGCAAAAAGGCAATGAGCTCTTGCCTCAGATGTTTGAAAGCTCATGCTCAGAGGGACAGAAGTCAGAAGTCAGAGAATTTAGTGAATTGCCTTTGTCATCACATGGACAAGCTGTATTTCCTAGCTTTGGCCCCAGGAACCCTCGCATGTTCAAGCTGTATTTCGGGCCAAAACCTGCTTTGGCTGTCACACATCCAGAGCTGGCAAGACAGGTTCTTACGCGCCCAAAGGCCATTGAACACTTGCTTTCAAGGAACTTGCAAGAGTTGGACTTATGTAAAACGTATGCATATATTAATATATACATATATATATATACACACTGAAGCTTGACACATGAAGCATGTTCTGCAAGTTGTGCAAGCAGGACTTTCAAAAGGCAGACAATGATGCGGTGGCCAGCAAGAGCATCAGTTCAATTCTCAACTACACGAAGGAGCCAACACGATTTTTTTGCATTGGAGCTTACATTTTGACTCACTCTTATGTGTTTGTGCATTTGTGTTTTTTCCCCTGGCCCTGGCCCTCGCCCTCGCGCACTCTTTTCTTTCTCTTGACGCTCTGGCCACCAAGCACAAGAACGCTCCTGATGATTCTAAGAGTGCCGGGCTGCACGCGGCATCGCCAGCATCCCGTCTAAGGCTACCCATGACCATTGCACTTTTGATGTTTGAGCTGAGTCCCTCATGGCCCCTCAGTGCAAGGAAATCAAACGGAAATGCTGAGCCACTTGGAGCCACAAACTCACAAAACTTAACTTTAGAAACAAGAAACTACTAGGAACAAGGTGCATCGCTACTAGTAGCAAGGTGCCTTACTACCAGAAGCAAGAAGCTTGACGCACCTTGCTAGCCAGTTTGTCGGGGGCAACTTTGGAAGAGCGGCGCCCCAACTTTCCCCGGCACTTTGTGCATTTGACTGCTGGCCATCATCCATACTGGGTCAGCTCGACAATCTCCAATTTTGACTCTTCGTGGCCCCAGAACACAATTTGCCTGACATTTCACACAGCGTACTCCCTTGCCGATCTTGTTTGTACAGCTCCCGGTCATGCTTGAGGCCGTCCTTGGCCGGATTGATGCCATGCTCAGAAGTAGGGGAGGTGGATCTTTGGCCTCTTGATTGACGAACGTTTGCCCTTCCTACTGATTTATAAAGGGACAACCCTCTGCACAGCACGACACAGCAATTTCATAGATCAAAACACGATGAGCATCTGCGTTGCGGAAGGCCTCCAAAGGCTTGTGCGCACTCACCATGTGTTATGTGCATTCATTTGCAATTTGACGGGCCTGACAAGGTGACAACAGCAAGAGTGCAGTCCAACAATGTCCAACATTCCGGAGTTGAGCACACCATGGCACAGACCGTGAGGCTATGCCCAAGGTCAGGAATGACGTCTCGCTCTCCCTCTCTCCCACTCTCCATCTCTCTCCCTCTCTCCCTCACTCTCTCCCTCCTCTATGTTTGACACATTCATATTTTCTACAATCAGTTTTGCTAAATTGCTTTGCACCAGAGGAGGGCCGCAATGCCTCTTTGGTAACCTCCAATGGTGCAGAGTGGCAGGCCATGCGCCGCTTGGTTTCTGTCTTTCAATTGGCAAGAAGCCGACTCAGCTGTGCAGACTGAGATGCGAACATCCACTGGTTTTCAAGCCATCGGGTGGTGAGCTAGAAGACATGAACATCGCTAGCGATCAACTACAGGGCAGAGTCTATATAGAGCCTACGACGGAGCGTGGCTGAAGAAACCCCGTGTATGCTCTTTTGTGAAGGCTCGTTTCCTTCCGAATCTGTACGCTCCCCTCACATCATGCACTTTGCCAGCAGCTAAGGAAAGCCAGTAGACCCAACTTTTGAAAAGACAGCGCAGAGCTAAGACAATGTGCAGAAGAGATCCATGCAGATCCAATGCAGCTTGCAGTCACTCTTGATCAAGCATCTATCTATATAACAACAGGTACATAGTACATATGCTTTCGACACTAAGGCACTCCGAAACTTGATACCCAAGTTCAATCAGACAGCTGATACGTCCCTTGGGGACACCTCTTGCGTGTTGATTTGCTCAGATATTGTCTACTTTGCACCGGCCAATGTCAAATGTTTGGGCTGAGGCTGATGGATAGCTGGAGGGGAACTGAAGAGGTTGACGCGAAAAGAGATTCTCAGACTCCATACTTCAATTTTTGAGTTCTGAAGCTCTGCTGGCGAAAGAGCCTTTGATTCAATCAGATTGAATCTGCCACTGTTTGTGAGGACATGTCGCGATTTGCTTTGGACATTCTTGGCACTGCAATGCTGGGGCAGAGTTTTGGAGCCATTGAAGGCAGTTTCGATGACACATACAGGCGTGGCAAGGGACTTCTCAGCCTTCCAAAGCAGCGAGCGGCACATTGCTTATTCTTGCTACTAGTAGCGATGCACTTGTTACTAGTAGCGAGCATTATATATATAGCCAATAAAGCCGTTTGCAGGCAGTACCAAACAGTCATGGCCGAGCTGATGAACCCAATCTACCTCCTCTTTCCTGTTCTCGAAAGACTTCCGCTGCCTCGAAATCTGAGATACAAGGCAGCAGTAAACCACATGTACGGTGTGCTGGAAGGTTTCTTGGTAGCAAGGAGTCAATGTGCAGCATTGCATTGTGCAATTAGCCTGAAGACGAGTCCTTAACTTTGTTCTCTGTGAGGTGCAGTGTATGCTCGAATCGAGCAGCGCCGTGAACAGATGGCAAGTGGCAAACTGAATGAAGAGCCCCAAGACATGCTTGACATGCTGCTTCTTGGACTTTGTTGTTTGAAATCCCCTCAGAGCTAGCTAGAAAGATCATAGATAAGTCCTTGGATTGAACATGGCTGCCTGAAGGCTTGGTCCTGGTCTCGATGCAAAAGGACAATCACATTTGCTTGCTCTTGTGACCTTTTGTGAAGTCAAGCGTTGTGAATCCCATGCTTTTGCATTTTTGGCTTTAATATTGCGAGTGAAGTCGGTTTGATCAATCTCAAGTGTGCGCAGGAGTCCTCCCGGAAGGCCACATGGTTCCAATGCTCTGGATCTTTTTCCTTGCGGGCCACGAAGCTTTGTCTCTGTATTCCAGTCCACCAAAGAATTTGTCATTTTGGTGCACATCCTATCAGACTCCACATGGATATATATATATATATTATACTGGCGAAAAAGAAACACATCCAGAGCCGGCGGAAGAACATGATAATCTGACAATAACCCATGTGCTCAAACACACATGTGAGACAAGATACAGAGATACTATACACTTCCTCATAGACAGGAGGTGCCTCTAGACAAGGAGTTGAGAGCAAAAGCTGCTCACATGTCTGAACTGTTCTGGTCGTGCATGATAACCACTGGGTAATGAGCGGGGTAGCTACTGTTCCTCGAATGTAAGTTCTTGATAATGCTGAAGTTTATATCTGTCTTGCATTTGTGGGTCATGGCAGTCAGAGCAAGTAGAGTAGAGCACAGGACGTAGAAGGCTCACAAAACAGCAGCTGTTGCCGCCAGCACTGAACTAATCTTACCGACAAGCAATTTCCAGTGCCAGTCGTTCTTTTGCGTGGTGGGGCGCGACTTCTTGTTTATCAGTTGAGGATACCACAGCAGTGTCTTTGGCCTGGGTCATGCATTACTTGGCAAAGCACCCAGATGTTCAAGAAAGAGCTCGGAAAGAGGCACTTCTTCAACTGACTTTGGCGGGACGTGTCCAGAGTTTGGAGTGATGGGCCCAAGAGAACGTAAAAAGATGTTTGGCAGAGAAGATGCTGGCGAGGTGTCTAATTCCAAAAATCGGCTTGCATAGGCCATTGCGGTCTTAGATGGCAAGAAGGATCCAGATGCAGATGATGTCGAGAGAATCCCATATATCAACGCGGTCATCAGCGAGAGTGGCCTGGACAGGATGGGAAGCGGAACGCAACATACTTTGCTGGACAACATAGGCAATGGATCTTTTGACATTGAAGCTGGGTGGATTTTTGGGATGACAAATGTCAAGTTTGCAGAACATGTGAGGTCTTCGTTTGCGGCCTCCAGTCTACAACCTTATCACCCGTGAAGCTTCTGTGGACACTGAGCTGGATGGGGTCAGTGTTCCCAAAGGAACAGGAGACTTGCTGGCATTTTAAACAGGGACGAGTTTAATTAGTTGCGAATTGTCTCGCATGATATCGTGGATGGCATAATGCGGCACTTCAACTCTGTGGACTCAGAGGGCCACAGTCGATGGTGCATGCAGGTGTCTCGCTCCATATCGCCGCCATCAATCAACACCCGGAGGCCGCTCTTTTTGTTCAGCCCAAATCAGAAGGCTCAGACGAAACTGTTCCAGAAGCTAACAATGTTGAAGAGCATTTGTATGGGGTTAGACTGCAGCATGTGAGTGTGGCCCGTTGCACGCCCAGCGACGAGAACTAGCATGATCCAGCATCAGGTGTGGGACAACCCATCAGAATTCAATCCAGAGCGCTTCATGCAAGAAAAGCAGCTTGGCCGCTGCTTAAGGGCTTGTGAGAACGATCATGTTTGTTATATATAATATAACATATATATATATACACTGTATATAAATATAATCTTGTGGGAATGCGTGCGCTGGCCAAGGCAGCCACGGGTCTTCAATTATTTACCATTTTCAGCAGGACTGACAGTCCAACTGCACCAGACATGTATGACATGTCGTCCCTCGTCTACAATTCAATCCATGGGAGGACCTCGTCGCTGTTTGGGCGACAAATTTTCGCTGCTGGAGCAACGAACGCTGCTCCTGAAGCTTCTTGTTCTGGTTGAGTCGTGGAATACGTTCGTGTGCGTTTGCCACGTGATCCTATTGAGCTTTCATGTGACACCCGACAACCCAGTAGAGAGAGAGAGAGAGAGAGTGAGAGCTGTCTGTGACCTCTTCAGCCACTCAATTGCCCATTGTACGAAATGCTACCTAAGTTTTGAATCTGCAAGTATAGTTAGTTGGCATACTGTAGTAGCTTCTTGTTACTGGTAGTAATGCCCATGTTACTAGCTGCTTCTTGTTACTAGTAGCGTGCACTTGTTGCTAGTTGGAGCATTTTTAGTGAATCTGCTTGGCGAGTGTCTTAAGCACAACATGTGTGCCTCTTTTCTGTTTGAATCTCCAAGCGCAACTCTTTGTTGTTATCCGAGGCTGTTAACACAGTACGAGGCAGGATGGTAGTCAAGTTTATGTCGCATTTTGCGCTCTACTCTGTACTCAATGATCACAACCACCAGCTATGTATGACTGGAAGCTACTCCAGGTCCTACCTCATAAGGACATGGCCAAGCAAGAAGACAACTTCTGCACATCTCCCATGAGCTTGATGCTTTTGCAGCCAAAGGACCCGGCCACGAACTGCTTTTTGGCAGTGGAAAGAAGAACGTCATGTTTCAGTGAGCTACTAGTAGCGTCCTTGCTCCTAGTAATGATACCCTTTGCTCCTAATAGCGTTCTTGTTCCTAGTAGTAAGGCCAGGAGCGCCCCGTTCGTAGCGTCCTTGCTCGTCCCATGATTACTGAGCACTCTTTGAGACTTGTGTATGCGACCATGGGACACCTCCCATCTCGTGCCTGGGCTCAAGGGCTGCAAAAGGAATGGCTGTAGTGGATGTCAGTGATTCAGAAGGTTCTGAGAAGTCAAGGTCAGATCGACATGCAGGCGTTACAGTCTTGGATCAAGATGAGGAGAGGGTCCCGGCTGAAGAAGAAATAATAGAATATGCAGAGTACTTAGGAATTGACCTGGAAAAGGAACAGGACCTGCTGTGGATTGCTCGAGAAGG